CACCCATGTAACCAATATTTGAGCCTCTGAAACCCGTGATTATGGACAACACAGGAACCAACCCACGTATAAAAAATCCGCTTGAACAATTTGATCTAATCATACTACACATACCTCCGACGAAATATAGAACCTCAAAAGTTTGTGGTTAGCTTTCAGTGAGAATAGAGAGATTTTGGTCATTTTGGCAGAGGAGAACACTTCAAGTAGAAATAGAGAACGCTAAAAAGACATTTATTATAATCTGTCTTGAACAAGTTTTGATAATACACTTAATAATTATTCTCTGATACATTTTATGACCAAAAACCTACTCACCATCGCACAATTTGCAATCTAACTAACGACAAGATAGCTGTTACAGGTGTTGTGGCCAAAAAAGGCAATCGGCCGTCAGGGGGTGGACACGCCCGCTGCGCGGGCTTTGCCCACCCCCACTGGCAGAATCCATGTAACTTCTGTCTGACCTCGACTTGATGATGCCGCCATCCATCCATCAGCTTTCATCTTTCATCTTGCGTGCGCATATCAAGCGCATCTGGCTCACACTGGAGGATATGGCAGGGGTGCCATGGCTCCTTGCAAAACGGGGAGCTCGAGTGGTTGTATAATCAAGCGTGCAGCTGTAGTAGATATATACCATTAGTAGATATGTATTGTGATCCCCAAGGCGCTTTGTAGGGAACGGAAACTAAGCAGAAGAAGAAGAAGAAGAAGAAGAAGAAGAAGAAGAAGAAGAAGAAGAAGAAGAAAATTTTCCGACTCGGCCGCGAACTCTATGCACGGGGGCTCGACTTAAACCCAACCTTGCTACGACGAAGCGTATCCACCTGCTCCATTTGACACTTCACCTCCGTTGTCGAAAGGGACACCTGATCTGCCATGCTCTCGTTGGCAACGATCGACTCCTCCAAGCCCATCATGGCCCATGTGAGATCGCGGCGAAGAAGCTCCACGTGAATACCGTGTAGACGTTCAAGACCGTTGATTGGTCGGTGTGCCGATTGATGTCCTTGCGCAACGACGCCTCTTCCTCGAGCTGGGCGTCGTGACGCTCGATATTGTTGCGCAACAACTCCTCTGCCCTTTCTGAACGACCGTGGCCTTGCTGAATCCGGCGCGACAGCTCGACGAGGTCGTTGTTGACGATGACGCTGACACGCTCTTCCAGGCGCTCGATCACGCAACCTTGCGTGTCGATCGTTCTCCCTTGGTTCATCGCGAGTTGGTGGAGGCGGTTGATGTTGCGGCCTTGCTCTGCCATGACGTTGTCGTGATACTTCAAGGCGCACAGCGCTGGGCCAAGCCGGTCTTCAGTGGACGAAGGCGGAGACGTGCGAGCCAGTGGGGAAAGGCTATCTACTGCCAATTGCTTGTGCGATGTAGTGGGCAGAGCGGCGGGGTCGAGGATCCAACGCCCAAGCAGATCCTCAATCGCAGAGGACTGAAAGGAGTGTGGGCGGCTCAAGTGGTGAGCGGAGAAGGGCTCACCCAGCGCCGCTGCCTGCCTTGCCAGTGATGTACGACGACCGTCGTTCTCGCCGATAGGAGTCTGCCTCTTGTCTACCTCGGCTGCTCTGTAGTCGGCCGTTGAGTCTGCCCCATCGAAGTGTGTCGGCGGGTCGTCCTCCTGCACGCTGTCGACGAGCGGCAGCATGTCAGCGTCACCGACCTGCGTCGCGCGATTTGGGGTCCACTGCTGCTCCTCGCCGTTCTCGCCGTCCCTCTGATCCTCAGACTCCTCCAACTCATTGGCCACTTCCTGCGCCTCTCCGTCCTCCATCCTCAGCCTTCTATCCTCCTCCTCCTCGTCGCACTCATCCTCGCGCTCGCCCCTCTTATCCTCCTCCCCCTCACCCTCGCCCTTGTCGCCCTCATCGCCGCCCATCTCCTGCGCCCACCTCCCTTCGCTCTCCTCGCTTTCAACCTCCTCCCTCGCATCGTCTTCTTCATCCCTGACCTGCTCCTCGACATCTTCCACAGCACGCTTCCTCCGCTTACTTGGCCGCCCTTCTTTGTCGCCCTTCCTACCCCGCTTTGTCGAGGCCTTCGTCTACACCGTGGTCCCCGGTGTCTCTCGCGTATTCTGGATCTTGTACCGCGAGAGGCAAAACTGCTTGACGTTCCTGTAATACTCGCAGTTGTAATGCTAGTACACGCTGTCCCGCTTCTCGACCGTCTCCTCTGCCCAGCACTCCCTAATGCCGTCGCAGCGACCGCACGGGCTCTTCAACCGGCGCAGCTCGGTCTTGGGTCGTCCATCTCACCCGCCGGTCGGAAACTCAGCGAACGACCGGTTTCTAACCCGCTTCTTGTTCGGCGACCGACCCCTTGCGCGTGTCGTTGACGCGCACTATTATGACGTTCTTTTCTTGTTGATACGTACCCCAAGATCTCCCTTTTCTTCAAGCGTTCCCGGTCCTAGAATCGTTGCTCGTGAGTTGGCCGAAAAACGCATACCTTCACATGTGATTCCCATGGTCCATGCATGCTTGTTCATGCGAACGTGCATACGGACAACTCGCAGTACATGATGCAAGCTGCCAGCGGTAATCTGTCCTCGACTACTCGCGTAGAACTGAACCACCACCACTCTCATGGGTGCAGCTGTTAATTTCTGTGATTAAAGGCTTACTGTACTTTTTCGACCTTAGGTTCGGTCCCCTGTCCCCCCTCCCCGCGAACCGAACCTACCGTGGGGCGACGATCCACCCCAATTGTGAGGTCACGAACTTAACAGGGAGGACATGCGGTAAAATAGGCAAAACAAATCTGATTAAATTGATAGAAAATCCGAAAAATGCTACAGAGTATTTTGATAACTTAAAAACTCAATGGTGTGTTTGTTAGAACCTCTGGCTAATTGGCGGCATGTTTCATCTATTTAAACACCTCCAGAGTCCTGTAAAACACATTTAGCTTGTCCATGCTGGGGCCACAGTGATGGAAGACAGCGCCTTGATCTTAATACAATTGGAATAGCCTTGTCGACGTCGACACAGAGAGGACAGAAATATGGGGTAAGTAAGCAATATCAGCAGAGACATGCTGAATTCAAATAAATCGAGTGCTTTTACTGGCATGGTGCCATTGAGCACGGAGCATGCAGTGGGAACAAGGCCCGAGGAATGTATGTGGTGGCTCGAGTGCATGAGCCAACAATTTCAGCTCGGGATTGATTCCTTTTTGTGCCGATGTTAGGGACGTTTCTGAGAACGCTTGAGCCAGGAATGTAGGCAAAAGTGCTAGCAATGCCAATTCATGATCATTTTTTTCAATTGGCGGCGCAATCCCTCGGCCTCAGCACAAACCTTGTCCACCCTCGGCTTGGCCCTCTGAGCTTAGAGGGGGGACAAACGGAAAAGGAAACTGTATTTAAAGTCCGAATTCTCACTCCACCGCGAACTTAAGACACTGCAGACAAACGGCGATTTTATCCGGGATGAAACCGAGAGAAAGAGGCGCGAGATGAAAGCCTTTTCCTCCGAGTTTTGGAACCCCTTTCTGCACAGGAAAAGGTTTTCTTTTAGCCGACATTTACGTCAATTTTGCGCTGGTAAAATGAACGGGTTACCGAATTTGGACTCCACCTTCCCGATTTGGACGTGTTTCTATCTAATCTCCGCACAGAAACGCAAACTCCGAAGCAAAAGTTTAACTTTTCAGTAACTTTTCGCACAGCAAAAGATGGGTGAAAAAGGCTTTCATCTGTCCGCCTTCTTTAGTCACTTTTTGTAGCAGAAAAATCGCAGTTTGTCTGCAGTGAGATCGAAAAAGTACAGCATATTGAGAAGGATAAATAAAAGGCTCACCTGGGGCAATGATCGAGCCAAGGTTGTTGAGGTTATACACATGGCCCAATGGGATTTTATGTCGCATGGTCGGTACACCGTGCCGTGTCTGAATTAGTGTTGCCGCATTTGGCGAACTGGCCGGAACCAACTGCCCACAAGATTGTACTGGCAATTATTATCAGCCCGGATAACACACCACGACGCCATGTAGAGGCTAAAAACCGCGAAGATTAACACATTGTTAGTCGGTATTGTGGCAAGAAAGGGGACTTCAAGGAGACGGTTCGGGCTGGTTTCACGAACCGCGGAAACACTACTGTACCTACACGACCGTAGGTTCAGGGGATTTCTGCGTGACATGAAATCAAGATAAGTTCCGATGAGGCTGAAGTTCAAATGTCCGGCGAACGCGTGATTTTGAACTAGGGTCACAGTTTGGTGACATCTTCAAGGCATTATTGCTGAGGACAACGAAGGTGAAGAGGGTGTTTTATTGGAAGGAGAAGTAGGCAATGCGGACACACCTTTACAGCGACTGTAAATTGTTTGTCCGTTGGGCTTATATACAGGTGTTTCAAGCCCTTTCCAGACTGGTATGACCGACTCACTGAAGCCTGCCAGTGAGGAGGTCGACTCCCCGTCTCCAGTCAACTGTGGTTGCACCAGTAAGGGTCTCAAAAATCTGAAACCCAGCGTTACATCAGAGTATAAGTTAAGAGGCTTAGTATTTTTCGTCACGCCGGGAGGTTCATTATCTTTTGTGATGGGTGACGAGCCAGGTCTTAAGTTCATTTTACAAAGCGTGAGGCGTGACGAACCTACGGTCGTGTAGGTACAGTAGTCTGAATAGCCTCGCCCGCCGCCTCAAGCACCTTGACTGAGGGCAGGTTGTCGACGCCAAACGATTGGGCCATCAACAGAATGGATTCCATCTGCGCGTCCGTTATAGACAGGTCTGTATAGTATCTTAGTACGAGAAACAGAATGGGGGAAAAGAAAGTGCGTACCTCCTTATCGGCCCACGGACACCATCGCTCATCTTTTTCAGCCCGCCTCTGGATTGGGCGGATCGAGCCCATCGGCGCCGAATAGGAAACGCAGCTTGAATGAGGCGTAGCCATTAATAAGTGTTGACTGAAGCGCAGTAGTGTTGCTTACTGACGCTGACAAAGCTGTGCACAGCATATACGGATGCGGATGCGCTCGTTGGGGCTATATAAGGCGAGTGATTGCTGGAGGCCTGCAGCTTCGAGGATGAAGGAGAATCCAGAACTTTTGGTGTCGGCGTGTCGGCTAGGTAACGGCGTGTCGGCGCGATCGTGGCTCGTTGAGTGTCATCTGGCAGGCCACATTAGAATTAACTCAGACAATGGCTCTCGTCATACTACTAATTAGTCGGACGGGATATAAATGATGACGCTCATTAAAATCTATGTCATCATGTCATTTATAAACGGCACAGTAGTGTAGCATGTAAGTGTAAGGGTTCTTGTCATCGAGGCTTGCGTTCGATTCAGCATTTAAGCCGTTTTTTGCGAGCTGCGGGGAATTTTTTGGCATTCAACAACAAAGTCCAAAGCCGACGTCAATGTCCACTCAATATCACGCGCAGATCTCGGATTATTCGTCTGAAACATGATCAAACACTGTCCTGGTTCAATCCTACAGTCATAAAGGTGTTCTGATGAAATAAAACAAACAGAAATAAATCAATGTAACCACAGAAGGTGGACAAGTGGCTATCTTGTGCTCGGTCAGGTTCAAAACTGTCCTGCCGTCCAAAGCCAAACCGCCACCCATGCCAAGGTCAGGGAGGATGACAAAGTCGTGGTGCATGAGCCGAGATTGACCGATGATTAGGCTGGCAATGAAATCCTGGACCACTATAGATGGCAGGGAACT